GACCCAGCACACTCGTTAAACACTCGTTCCACGTTCACAGGAGCTCGTTCAACCCCTCGTTCAACGTTCACAGGGCTCGTTCAACACACTCGTTCAACGTTCACAGGAGCTCGTTCAACACACTCGTTCCACGTTCTGGGGCTCGTTCGCTTACCTCGTTCAATGTTCACGGGGCTCCATCCAGCACACTCGTTCATCGTTCACGTAGCTCGTTCAACACACTCGTTCCAACGTTCTGCGGAGCTCATTCAACCCTCATTCAGCGTTCACAGGGCTCGTTCCAGCACACTCGTTCAACGTTCACAGGGGCTCGTTCAGCACACTCGTTCAACGTTCACAGCAGCTCGTTCAACACACTCGTTCAACGTTCACAGCAGCTCGTTCAGCACACTCTTTCAAAGTTCACAGGGCTCGTTCAGCACTCGATTTCAACGTTCTGGGAGCTCGTTCAACACACTTGTTCATCGTTCTGGGAGCTCCTTCCTTTTTACTCGTTCAACGTTCACAGGAGCTCATTGCCTCGTTCGTCGTTCTGGGGCTCCTTCAACACACTCGTTCATCTGTTCACAGGGCTTGTTCAACACCTCGTTCAACGTTCACAGGGCTCGTTGAACACACTCGTTCAACGTTCACAGGGGCTCGTTGAACACACTCGTTCATCGTTCACAGCAGCTCGTTCAACACACTCATTCAACGTTCACTGGGGCTCGTTCAACACACTCGTTCATCGTTCACAGCAGCTCGTTCAACACACTCATTCAACGTTCACTGGGGCTCGTTCAACACACTCGTTCAACGCTCACAGGAGCTCGTTCAACACCGGCGAGGTAGGAGGTATATTTGCTTGCTAGTAAATATATGCTTTTTGTTTTGTATACACACACACACACACACACACACACACACACACACACACACACACATCTATAGACAGTGGAATATAAATGGATAGATAGACAGGTAGAGGAAAGTAAATACACATATGAATATAAATAGACACACACACACACACATACATTATTCATACATACATACATACATTATTATGTTCAAATGAACTGTAGTTTGAGTTTTTCCCCATCTAGTTATTATATGTCTTATTTGTGTCACTCATGTTACTTGTATATTATTTGTAATTCGTAACCCATTCCCCAAATATGTAACTGTATATTTTCAGCCTTCTGGCTGCCAAGCTCTTTCAATAAACCGTTAATTATTATTATTATTGTTATTATTATTATTATTATTCATACATACATACATACATACATACATACATACATACATACATACATACATACATACATACACACATACATACATACATACATACAATGTCCAAGTGAAATTACATTGATTGCATGAGATTATCAAAAGATCGTACGTGAAATTTTCCTCTTAATTAGAGATATGAGAAACCAGGTAACAGGTGTATTAATTGATAAGGCACAAAGATGGCGTCGAGACTGTCCTGAGACTCTAGAGTCTAGATTAACTACATTTATTTTTATAATTTCCAGTGAGCAAATGCTGGGGGTGAGAGCTGAGGTTTGGTGTAAGGGGTGAGAGCTGAGGTTTGGGGTAAGGGGTGAGAGCTGAGGTTTGGTGTAAGGGGTGAGAGCTGAGGTTTGGGGTAAGGGGTGAGAGCTGAGGTTTGGTGTAAGGGGTGAAGCTGAGTTTGGTGTAGGGGTGAGAGCTAGGAGGTTTGGGTGTAAAGGTTTGTAAGGTGAGCTGAGGTTTGGTGTAAGGGGTGAGAGCTGAGGTTTTGGGAGTGGGGGTGAGAGCTGAGGTTTGTGTAGGGTGAGCTGAGGTTTGGTGTAGGGGTGAGCTGAGGTTTGGTGTGGGGGTGGCTGAGGTGGTGTAGGGTGAGGCTGAGGTTTAAGGGGTGAGAGCTGAGGTTTGGGAGGAGAGCTGAGGTTTGGTAAGGGGTGAGAGCTGAGGTTTGGTAATGGGGTGAGAGCTGAGGTTTGGTGTAGGGTGAGGGGTGAGAGCTGAGGTTTGGTGTAAGGGGAGGTGAGAGCTGAGGTTTGGGTAGGGGTGAGAGCTGAGGTTTTAGTGTAAGGGGTGAGGCGGAGTTTGGGGTAAGGGGTGAGAGCTGAGGTTTGGTGTAAGGGGTGAGAGCTGAGGTTTGGTGTAAGGGGTGAGAGCTGAGGTTTGGTGTAAGGGGTGAGAGCTGAGGTTTGGTGTAAGGGGTGAGGTTTGGATGTGAGAGATTTTTTGAGAATGAGAAGTCACCAAAAGGTCAGGGAAAGTGGTGAACCCTCATGATAAATCGACGCGAGAACTTTGACCTTCCCACCAGCAGGCACCCCCCCCCCAGACCTGGGTCTTGTGTTGCCCAGGACCATGACAGGGTGTTGGTGACCTGGTACGAGGGAAGTCTTGTTTAAATTTGACAACGTTGGTGATTGGTGAGTTTCAGTGGGGTGTGTTGCAGGTGTGTTGCAGTGTTGTGATGGTGAGTTTCAGTGGGGTGTGTTGAGTGTTGTGATGGTGAGTTTCAGTGGGGTGTGTTGCAGTGCTGTGATGGTGAGTTTCAGTGGAGTGTGTTGCAGGTGTGTTGCAGTGTTGGTATGGCTAGTTTCAGTGGGGTGTGTTGCAGTGTTGTGATGGTGAGTTTCAGTGGAGTGTGTTGCAGGTGTGTTGCAGTGTTATTGTGGTTAGTTTCCAATGATCTTGTCGTGGTTAGTTTCCCATAAATTACCGCTGTTATCTGTGGCACTTGACCTTCTCGTTCAGACAGCAGAAGGAAAAACAAAACACTGAAACAATCAACATTAATGAAAATACAAGAAAACCTAACAGGGTTGTACATCCCCCTCCCCAGGCACATCTCATCGTTGTCTCCCTGTTCGTGACACATTTCCCACAGTTACGTTAGGTTAGGTTAGGTTAGGTTAGGTTAGGTTAGGTTAGGTTAGTTTAGGTTAGGTTAGGTTCGGTTAATATTAGGTTGGGTTAGTTTAGGTGAGGTTGGGTTTGGTTAGGTTTGATCTGGATAAGTTAGGTTAAATTAGACTGGGTTAAGTTAGATTAGACTGGGTTAAGTTAAGTTAGATTAGGCTTGGTTAGGTTAGATTAGATACGGTTGGATTAGAGTTAAGGCAGTTAGTCTATCTTGAAGTGATATAAGCCGGGGGGAGGTTAATCT